CAAATGTGGCTTAGTTGACTTAATTTCTACAACTTTATGCAATTTATATAGCTCTGTACATTAACACTAAGTTACAGAGGGAAACCAAAAGCATTAACCTCTATTTAGATCAGAATGGATAGCTAATGGAGGCCTAGAATTAAGATAGTGATTAAATGAAACTTGAGGATTGACCAAAATGACCAACCAAATGTGTTTTATCTATTAAAATCTGGTTCTGCATTGTACAACTTGAATGTTTCTTCTTTATTAAAGTTGAACCAGAATTCAGTTGAACTTTGATTTAACCACAGGCTTGTAGCAAATATGGCTGAGAAGAATGCATTAACTTCAGTGACATGGGAAGCAATTAGTCAAATCTGGAACACAGGACTTTTTCCAGGGTCAGTGATCCAGGGTCACTAGCAAAAAACTGGCATAAAGGGAACCAGTTTGAAATGTTATAAGACAAAAGAGACGTAAGACACATAACAAGCAAATGCAATTATAAGGCCCTTGCTTGGATTCTGATTTACACAAAATGCCTAAAAATAATCTCTGAGACCTGGGTTCAGTTCCCGCTAAGGGCACATACCTTGGCTGCAGTTTGTCCCTGGCTTCGGTCGGGGTCGTGTGGGTGGCAACCAGTCAATGTGTCTCTCTCACACTGATGTTTCTCTCTCTCACTCTCTCTTCCCCCCTCTCTGCCTCCTGCTCTATCTGAAGATAAATGCAAAAATATCCTCAGGTGAGGATAAAAATATCAATCGATCTCTGAGATAATGGGGAATGGGGCTATGACATGGTATCAGATAGCAAGGAATCAGTTACATATGTTTTTAAAAAGCTCCTGCAAGACAGAAATGCATTAAAATCTTTACAGATGAAGTAACAGAAGGTTGGCCAAGGATACCGGGCACCTGCTTTGCTTGACTTCTCCCTTCATCTGATCTCACTTCCATCCTTGTCCCCCTGCAGATGTTGATTCCAAGGGATATCCCCAATAGGTATCATATGCGCTAGACTCCATTTCAGCCTCCCAGAGAGCCTGATTTGTGACAAGTGCTGTTATTACCATCCACTACCATGACCCATTTTACAAGTGGGTAAACCAAGGCACAGGGAGATCGAATAAACTTGCCCAAGATTATACAAGTAGTAAGGGGTTCAATTCCAGACTGCCTGTCTCCAGAGCCTGGGACTTTAAGCACATATCGAAACTTTTTCCAACTTCGGGATTACGAATCTGACTTTAGGTTTCAGTCTGAATTCCGCAATGTATTTGACTGTATTTGACTGTATGGCTTCGATTAGATTACTTGGATGCTCTGAGATTCAGTTTCCTCTTCTGCAAAATTGAGAAAACAATCCTTCATCCCAAGAGTTTGTTTTGGCCCTGGATGGTTTGGTTAAGTAGTTAGATTATTGGCCTAAGCCTGAGGGGTGGTGAGTTTGATTTCCGGTCAAGGGCACATATTTCAATTGCAGGTTCAAAACCCAGCACCAGTCAGGGTCGTGCGGGAAGGCACCCAATCGATGTCTGTCTGTCTGTCTCCCTCCCTCCCTTCCCCTCTAACTAAACATTAATGGAAAAATATTCTCAGGTAAGTATTAACTACTAAAAAAAAGAGTTTGAAAATTAAGTATGTTGTTTAAATTTACTATTTCTAAAACAGACATGGCTAGAAATATTTAGTATTCAATAAAAATTCATGATGGAATGACCTATCCTCTAAATTCCTCAGGTTTGGACCTGCCCAACAACTAAACTTTAAAAAAATGTCTTATCTGAACAAAATTTAAAAATCCGTTGGCATAGAGATGTGACTCTATCCCGGTTTTTTCAAATTATTATACTATACTATACTATACTATACTATACTATACTATACTATACTATACTATACTATACTATACTATATACTGTATTTGAAAAAACCGCCATAGAGTGAAGCCACGAAAGTCGAAGCGTGAAGTGACGAGGGCCAACTGTAAAGAAAGAACCCTGCTCCGCGGAAATTCATTTAGCGCGGTGGAGCCTGCAACTGATAAATGAGGGCCGCCTGTATCTGTTCAGCCACACTCCCTTCCATGGAAGTGACTTGTCTGTAGTCTCTGACATCCAGACTGTCACTTTTTTTTCTTTATTGATATTAGAGAGAGAAGAACGGAGAAGGAGAGAGAGATGGAAATATCAATGAGAGAGAACATCGACTGGCCACCTCCTCTATGACCCCACTGGGGATTGGGCCCACAATCTGGGCATGTGCCCTGACCAGGAATGGAACTGGTGACCTCCTGGTGCATGGGTCAACGCTCAACCATTGAGTCACACCAGCAGGGCTTTTTTTAAAAAAAAGGGCTGTCATGTTTTTATACCTTGTATATGAGATGCTGGCCCCTGACCCGAGGATACAAACTTCACATGCTGGCTAGTCAGTGACAGGTGATGTGGTCTGGCTCTGGTGAACTTTGGCTGAGGATTATAGAGTGAGTGAGGCAATCAGCATGGTGGCAAAAGCTGAGAAAGTGCCCTGAGCCTGTGACGGAGCCCAGAGGCCAAGGCCATGGAACGAAGCACTGGCGTGGTGGGGCTGCAAGGAAAGGGACACCAGTCCAAGGCCACATGGAACGAAGCACTGGCGTGGTGGGCTGCAAGGAAAGGGACACCAGTCCAAGGCCACATGGAACGAAGCACTGGCGTGGTGGGCTACAAGGAATGGGACACTGACAAGTGTGAGGGAGGAGCCTGAGCAGACACGGAAGTGCTCATATAACTCATATTATATTTCAAACTTCTGTCTTTTTTTCCATGAAAACACAACTATTCCTCATTCCAAAGAAATAGCATCACTGAACATTTAAAATTAAACTTCCTTAGATTTGTTCTTTAAAAACTTTTTATTTTCTTTGAACAAAAAATCTTGTTCGAGTGTGAAGACAGGCCATCATATTTTCTTTATCAGTATTACTGAACTGCTACTTCTTTATCATAAATAAGATCACACTTAGCACATCATCTTACAATGAACATGTTACTGAATAAATTTAATTTTTATAAATGGAATCATGTGAAGGCCTTGTCAATCAATCAGATGCAGTGGCAAACGATGAACTTCAAGATGGATCTGCATGAGGCAAAAGCTCCTCAACTGACCTGTGAGATCACTTATTCATCGAAAGCATTCAGTGAACACCTGTTATGTACCAGGCACTCGGGATGAGGAGATGAACATGATCACTAGCCCCCAGGGGCTCACACTAAATAGAAGAAACAGACCAGTAAACAACTACCAATATAACAGCACGGTACACACAATGCCAACAGCAGGCGGCGGTGACAATGGTTAAGTACAATCGCAAAGAACGGTATCAGGGAAAGAGACCTGAGAGCATCACAGCACAGCAGGTCAGGTGGTCCACCAGAGGAGGCAAGAGATCCGAGTAAGACGTGCACGGCATGTCTCAGAGAACTCGGGAGGACACAGTGTCTTACCTGTACACGTGGTTTAGTTAGTTCTTGTGTATAGTAGCAGGATTTTGTTGTCATCTTTATGGGAAATCCACATATATGAGGCAGTTTAGATTTTAAATCAGAAAGAAAACTTTTCAGCACACCTTCCAAATCTACCCTTGGAAAGAACTGTGCAGGCTGACTTCTGATGCAGCTGAGAGGGTATGTGAACAATGGTAAAGAACAGAACACTTTCACAGAATGAAAAAAATATTCAATAGCAACTGTTAAAAAGGCACACAAACTAAATCCCAACTATTTAATATATTGCTTATTTATGCTAAGCTAAACAATTCCAAGTTTATAATCCTAAGCTAAAAAGCACGTTCTCTTACAGGGATATTACTTACTTCTACTTTAATACCCACAATCAAGACAGCTCCTTGGATCCTAATGACACAGGTTTCCTTACAGACTGGCAAACTAAGACACTCCAGAAATGATTCATAAGAAAGACACTATGACCTTTATAAATAATAAAAATAAATGTTTAGCCCTGGCCAGTTTGGCTCAGCGGTTAGAGCATTGGCCTGCAGACCAGAGAGACCTGGGTTCAGTTCCCACTAAGGGCACGTACCTTGGTTGCAGTTTGTCCCCGGCCCCGATTGGGGTCGTGTGGGTGGCAACCAGTTGATGTCTCTCTCTCACATCAATGTTTCTCTTTCTCTCTCTTCCTCCCTCTCCCTCACACTCTATCTGAAAATAAATGCAAAAGTGTCCTCGGGTGAGAATTAAAAAATAAATGTTTATAGTAAATAATAAACAGGTTGTTGCATCTCTAAAAAGCATAAAGCATAAAGCATAAAGTACAGAGAAACAACATAAATTTCATTCAAGCTCCAAAAGAGTTCTTTGAAAAAAGCAGTTACTTTTCTGATGAAAAATATTCTGAAGATTTGGCATCTAATGAAAGAGAATAAGTGATACCTGTCAACTTTAATTTTTTATTAAGGTTTGGGCCAGGAACCAGAATACAGAAAGAACATTATGTCTCTCCTCTCTTCCACTCTGAAACTCCAGCTGGTCAAGGGGCAGGAATGGTGAGCTGAGTATTAAGACTGAAGAGTTTCACTTGAGCCCTTTCATGTGTACATTTTTTAAAAGCAATGTTAAGATATTTTCTTAAATCAATGGCATATATTAATTGTAAGTCAAATCCTCTAAATTTTGTCTGTAAAACAGTCTTCCAAAAATAAAAATCTTTGTTCAACAACTAATTCTAATTCCGCTTTTTCAGTAATATCCAAAATGCCACTAGAGGGAGCCCTTAGCTAAAGAGAATTCTACGATTACTTTCTTTCTACTAGAAATCATATAAACATGTTTTCAATCTACTGTAAAGTTTCTTTGCTGTCTAAATTGTTGCATGAGTGTTTAAGGAGAGAAATATAATTATTAAACTCATCCTCAAGTAAAAATGGGAAGAGAAACAAAAATACTCATGCAGATAAAGAGAAGTCGAGAAGGCTGAAAATGATGAAGCCGTTAGGGTAGGAGAGAGACTGAGTCATACGTGGGCAGAGCACCTGTGAAGGCTGGTATGTAAAGGATATGTAAAGACCCTTCCTCCTATCATTCTGAAGTAGATGCTGCAGTATATTTGAATATTTCCGCAATCTTCTGGAAGCTTATAGCCATACTAAAAAAAATCAAGAACAAAGCTGAAATTCTCTTGAGAGAAAGCTAAAGTTAGGTTAAATTCTAAGAAGCAAAACCAAATAATTTCCTATACAATATATATTTATAACGAATATATATAAACATATAAACATATATATCTATTCCTTACCAGGTCATCCCAGTGCTTCTGGAAATCCCTGTATGAGTGAAAAGGACAGTCAGGAGGCGTGGTGTGAAGAATACTTAATATCTGTCCCATTTTCATACTATGAAAAATAAGAGTTTAGTAAAATACATGAGCCAATGGTTAGATATGTTAACTATGGAATTTAGAAAGTGTTCAAAAAGATTTAGCAACTATTTGCACATAAGTAATAAACTAATCATTTGCTCCTAGTTCCAAACACACATTGTACTGAATCTTAACTAGAATTGTTAGAATAACTAAGTTGAATCAATGCAAACAATATGCCAGTCATAAACACAAAATAATGACGCATGTTACCACACACAGGTGTGCCTAGTGATTGTTAGACTGGAGGGGACAGTTTGAGAGTTGAACGAATCAGAGTCAAACCTGTTTCCCATCGACCTTTCCTGAATGATTAGATTATTATGCAGATGGCTGCTAAAGTTCTTTTTTTGTAAAGTAGGTTAAACTTTCATCCCAATGGTTCTATTTTTCTTAATAACAAGCCATTTTTTTCTGAATATAGTATAAACTCAAAACTTAGCTCATATGAAATTATATGAATCATTAATTCTATGTAGGAATGTAGTTTTATTGAGATTATAACAGTTGTAATCTCAATAGTTATAATAGTTGAGATATCTAGAAATTTTACTTTAAAAATAGATCTAATAAAAATGTATAATAAATGCATATTATACATTAACGTATAATAAAATTATTTTAGTAATCTGATAAAGGAAACTGATGGTTTCTGTATGGGAATATTGTTGCAACATGTTTTTAAAGTTATAATTGTATCAAAAGTTCACATCTCAAAGGTGAAGCAGAGTTACAGAAAAACGGTCTATCTGAACCTCCCCCAGCTACAAGCTGAAATCTCACCTTGGCAAAACGTAGCACCAGTTGCTTAGAATCGAATGACCCTCAATGACAGCATTCTTGTGAGTATCAAAGTCCTTTATAACACTTTGAGAAATATCAAATTCTTCTAGCTTTTAATAGAAATAAGATTTTAATGTGTAAATCCCCCAAAGAATTTGGCAAAGACACATTAAAAGACACACATAGTGTTTGTTACATACACACACAATCAGTTATAAAGCTATCTGAAAGGCTTCAGTTACATCCTGTCTCCTCCAGTATAGCAAGTATTTCATGCTTTCCCTCTTAACTTGCAAATCAGAACTCCTGATTCGGCATTGTTTAATACACATTTATGAACTAATTGTTACAGCAATCGGGATGTGAAAAATGCCCTATCAAAAATGTAAGTAAGGTTAGATTTAAAGGAGCTGATGTCAAATTATAATCTAGAAAATTCACTTAAATGCACTAAACAATATTACTGAGTGTCAATGCTGAGCAGAAAAGAGAAGAGCAGCTCCCTCATTTCTGGTGTTGGCCTCCATGTCGCGAGAGCGCTACTACCCCGATGGTGCTGTGCCCTCACTCATTCCTCTCTAGGGCAGATGAGGTAACTTATCTAGTGGGCAGAACTGGGACAACTCCCTCCTCTTCCTCTCGGGAGCTGGCCTGCTGGCAACAAGGGCTGCAGTGCAAGCTCCATGTCCCTCTGGGAACGGTGCCTGTGATTTCCATCACTGCCATTCAGCAGTGGGTCCATCTACCTAATTCTAGGGCTCAGATATGCCGTTCTCCAACAGCTGTTTCTCTCTTTCTGTAATAAACAGTCTGACCATATGTCTGTTAAAATAAGTGAAATGAAGACCAAACCTGAAAATTCTTTATGCAGACAAAACCACGTAAGCAAAACCTAACCTAGCTTATTCTGCAATGCGAGCAAAATTCAAGATTATTTTTCGTAAATGCCTCCAGAAGTCATAAATAAAATTTGTTTTCCAAAATATAATCTCTTTTAACCAATCCCATCATTTGGTTATGCCCTCGTTATAACCAATCATTATTAAGATTAAATCGCTTCACGAATCTTTTATGCCAACTGTCCTGTAACAACACACCTCGAGCTTCATTCCATTGTTGGTTTTATGACTCCTGGTTCACAAACTGTTCTTTTATGTACAGTAAACTCTTAACGAATCCAATTTTAATTGATCTGATTTTATTTTTAACATACTGTAGTTCATACATATTGGACTAATATCCCATTAGGTTTGTATCCCTTGCGCTCTCAAAAGTGTCCATTTTGGATGTTACATTCTCATCCTATTAATAAAGGCGGTATTCTGATCTCTATGTCTGAATACTCTTCTTTGTCAATCTCTAACTGGTTCAAAACTCAGGTATATAAAACAGAAGTATCATCTGTAAGAAATCAAAGGACAGCAAGGGACAATAATTAGTCCTAAGCAGCTTATTATAAAGTACATTAGGGGACACACAAACGAAGAGTGTAACTCAGAGACAGAAATGAGCAGGTGAGCAGGTGCAGCAGAGCGTACAGTTTAAGAGGGCAGAGCCCACACTAGGTCTGGAGCCTTGTGAAGGTTCCTTCGTAAGTATAGAAGATTCACATTATGCAGCCGTCCCTGTATTGACATGCGAGTGAACGCCTGCACTGGCTCACACAGTTCTTGGGGGCCAGAAAGAGACCCCATTCCTCAGTGACTTGCCTTTGTCATAGAAGTGATGCAGTAGAACTGAGCTGACTCCTAAGGGACAGGCAGCATGTATAGCCAATCAGGGCTCTCAAATAAAAAGACAAGGAGCATGTGTAGCCAATCGGGGCGCTTAATCAAGGGAGAGCCATCTATCCCAGGCCGGGGGTTTCTTGGCCTGGCTGCTATAGAGAATGTAGGCTGGAAAACCCTTTGTTGGGGTGACGGTGGGATTGTGTCCTGTGCACTGTGGGATATTTAGCAGTATCTCTGACTTCCATTCACTAAACGCAAGTAGCAACATCTCCCTCCCCCTTTGTGAGAACCAAAGTTTTCAGGCATCACAGAATGTCTCGGGAGGAACGAAAGCACTCATTTCCCTCCCCTCCTGCCTCTGTTGGAGCCGCTGGCACCGAGGAGGTGAATACTTTCTGAGTCATCACTGACATGTAAGGTTCAGTGCTTGGTGCTGAGAGCAAAGTGAAGGACACACCCTTCCACTAAGGCGGCAAAAAGCATCATGTGTAAAAAGTAGGTGCGAGCCCTGGCCAGTTTGGCTCAGCAGTTAGAGCGTCGGCCGGCAGTCCAGAAAGACCCGGGTGCGGTTCCCGCTAAGGGCACGTACTTCGGTTGCAGTTTGTCCACGGCCCTGGTTGGTCATGTGGGTGGCAGCCACTCGATATGTCCCTTCACGTCAATGTTTCTCTCTCTCTCTCCCTTCCTCTCTCTCCCTCCCACTCTATCTGTACAAAAAAATGGAAAAATATCCTCGGGTGAGGATAAAAAAAAAAAAAAAAGTAGGTGCGAAAAAAAAAAATGCTACCAGAATGCCAATGGGGGATATTGCATTTACTCTGGACTGAAACAATGCTTTTAATATCTGCATGTGTAAGAGGCAAGAAGTGGGTGCTGACAAGACAGGGTTGTGGGGAGTCTTGAATGCCACTAAAAAATATTTTTGAGCAAGGGAATCTGTGTTGAATTGACAATATTTTCTTTGGGTAAACAGATTCGAACAACATCAATGTATCAAGAATTTAATATGGATTTTGTAAATAAAACATCTTATCACTCTTATTAAAAATTAAAACCTACTAACTTGTTAGCGATAGTAATAAATACATTAAGTATATAGCAAAAACAGTTAATTATAAAAATAAAAATATGTAGTACCTCAGGTGGTGGCAATCTGATTGTATAAGCTTCTATACTTAGACAAACTTGAGTTTCTGTTACATTGATGTCGAATACTGGAAATAAAACATTTAATTGTAAACTTTCTGGAATTACTACTCCATCTTATCAAATTAAGTATTTCAGTAACAAAAGAAATTACTTTAACTTAATTTATTCAAGATAGAAATTCAGTTAAGAATGTTGTTTTTTTTTCCCCACATGGTAAGAGTCTTTCACCACAGCCCTGGCCAGTTTGGCTCAGCGGTTAGAGCATCGGCCCGTGAACCAGAGAGTCCCAGATTCAGTTCCCACTAAGGGCACGTACCTCAGTTGCAGTTTGTCCCTGGCCCTGGTTGGGGCCATGTGGGTGGCAACCACTCGATGTGTCTCTCTCACATGGATGTTTCTCTCTCTCTCTTCCTCTCTCTCTCTCTCCAACTCTATCTGAAGATAAATGCATAAATGTCCTCGGGTAAGGATTAAAAAGTCTATCACCATATTATACTTGACAGTCACAGGTGATACATCAAAAAAGAAAACAAAGGCTGAAGCAACGTGGATACGTAGGTGTGTATGTGTTGGGGAATGTTACAGGGCAGGGTTGCAATAAGAAATATGAAACACCCCACAGTTGAGAGGAAAACTCAACAGATACCTTTTACAAGTCTGACATCTATTATATGTAAGAAATAGAGACTGTTTTCTTAAATCAGAAGGTACCATGCCATGACTCTAACTTCAGTAATCTTTCAATAACAAATACCCCCAAATATTCTGGCAGATATACCCTGGATCTTATAGAGCCCAAAGGATTCTACCTTGGTCTCTCATAATTAAAAGTACTTAACAAGTCAGATACTGGTTATCTTGGGAAGGGCTAACAGCTGGAAGAAAACAGGAGGGGGCTTTTGGGGTACTGGCTATTTTCTGTTTCTTGATCTGAGAACTGGTTACAAGGGTAAGTTTAGTTTGTGAAAATCCAATGAGCTATACACTTCCAATCTGTCAGTTTTGCTGTAGAATATTACATTCAGTGAACTAAAAGAAAAATTTCTAACAGAGAAGTGAAGAATTTTGCTCTCCTAAACTGTTATCTTTAATCTCCGACAGCTGTAGTCTCCTGATAGTGTTTGGGGATGAAATTAAATTTAGTAATGAACCTATTCCTCCACAGCTAGAGTATAATGATTGCCATTGTTCAACTTAAACATAAAACTAGTGCAAGGAGGGCAACTGTGGATTATAGACACTAGCCCAGGACTTAAGGCTATGCCCAAATGGTGAAAGCTACCATGGTTGATTAGTAATGTTATCTGGGCTTAGGATTTCCACCTAACTGCTACCTCTGGACTACTGTTTAGGAACTTGTCTACCTGCAAATCAGCTGTGCATATCACTGAAAGAATTAATTAGACCATATCATAAACTGTTATTTTAGATCATCTGTGTCTCTTTAGACTTTTTTTTAAGAAGAAGAAGAATCATGTTCTCAGGGCCCTGGCTGGGTAGCTCTGTTGGTTAGGGCATTGTCCCATACACCAAGGTTATAAGTTCGATCCCCAGACAGGGCACATACAAGGATCAACCAACAAATGCATAAAAAGTGGAACAAATAGATGTTTCTCTATCTTTCCCTTCCTCTCTCTACATATCAATAAATAAAATTTTTTAAAAAGAATCATATTCTCATAAGAAATAAAGCTTTTACTTATAACAGTACTGAAGAATTTTTGATGATATAATTCTGGAAGCTATACATTAGAAAATTCCTATAAGAACTGAACTCCTTTATAGTCATAATTTTCTTTAAGCAGAGAAATTTAAAACAAAGCGTTTATCCAACTGAGAGAAGTCAGTTTTTCTCAATAAGGTTGAAAACATATTTTGAAACAGTTATTTCCCCAGGTGAAATTGTGATTATAATATATGATTAAATTCCGATATAACCTAATCACCAAGACTGTAACAACTCAGCAATCTGCAACATTAACAACTGTTGATTGGATTAGTATTTTATCTATTGACTTATGCATTTTTACTTACCAACAGCATTTTGCTTTCCCATCTGAGAAAGAAATTCTCTTCCTTAAAAAATTGACAGGATATCCATATTATTATAACCCATAAATCATGCTTAATAAATACAACCTTTTAATGTGAAATTATCAAAGCTAAGGAAAATGCTTTAAAATGTAGTTTTATACAAAGGAATACCTGATGTCAGCTCAGAGGAAAAAATATAACCACTCAAAAAGTATCTCTTCAATTAAAAGACAGAAATACCCAATTATACCCTCAAATGTTTATTTCCTAGTACAAAATGCTTCAGACCTCAACACAAAAGTCGGGATAGCCTTTTGGTTCCAGCTATATTGGTAATTTCAGTTCATTTTATAACAATGCTCCTCACTTATATTTATTTATTTCTAAACATCAAGTCTTACATAATGAGCTCATCTTCTTTACAGAAGCATCAGCTAGCCTCTGGATACAATCCCACAGTAAGGAGCTGATGTGTTATGGGCTCACTTGAGAATGCCTGACTGGGGCTATGCTTTAAAAACCATTCCCTAAAAATATCTTGAAATTTAAAACAGATGCACATAATAGAAGTAATGCAGTTCAGAAAGCCACAGTGACTGAAAGATATAGTCACCTTGCACCAAGAGATGGCCAGTTTTATTCCAGGCTGGAGCAAGTCTAGCCACAAGTGAGTACGAAAGACAGTTTTGAAGAATTACAGGAATTACTCTTTGTGGTGCCTCCACCTAAAAATATCAAAGGACAAAATATGAGCAAATTATACCAATCAGTAAGTCCCTAAACACTCACAGAACATGTCTCTCTTTAGATCACCACCCAACAAACTGGGCTATTCTGGATATTAGTTCTAGTCGTCACTACAGTCATAATCCCAAATGGTTCTAAGGTTTCAAGTGTTCAATTCTTTCTACCCTGAAACCATGACTACTGCCCTGCCGTAACAGCCCGATTCCACTTGCTTATCCTGGCCCACGAAACCTAAGCTTTCAGGGCTCCCGCGCCACACCCTTACACTCTGTATTCTGCTCTACACAGAATAACCCAGACGAGAACCATATTGTAATTATTTATAATTGTTCACTCTAGCTCAACAACAGACAACAATTGAACTTACATGGGTACCAGTAAAATTTCTCTATAGAAAATTCTTTTAAATTAGAATTTCTGACCAAGGAGAATAGTAGGATGCAGATTTATTCTCCCACCTGAGACGACAGCAGAAACCTGGGCAAGTTATATGAAGCAATGGCTCACAGGACACTGGACATCAAGCAACAAAGAAAACAGCCCCTGAGAGACGGAACCTGTAGATCATCCCAACATACTGCCTGAAGAGGGTGTGGAGGCTGCTATGCAGGGAAGGCTCCTCGAAGAGCAGGGGACTGGGCTGGGGACAGTCCTGGGAGACGAGGGAGGCAGAGTTCTGGAGCAAAGAGCTGGAGATGAGAGAGCTGCAGAGCAGACTCTGGGCGCAGCAGCCCCTCGTGAGCACTGGCTGAGCGTGGAGGAGCAGGCCAGCCCAGCGCCAGGGAGAGAGTCGAGGCTGTTTGCTCTGCGAACATCCCTGCGAACACAGTTCAGAAGAAAACGCCGCCACTGCCCCTACTAGCAGGACATGCAAAAAGGCGACAGTGCCGAGGAGAACCTCTCCCAATATTACCCACCCTCATTTTCATTCCATTGCGGCTTCTGGTGAATTTTCCCAGGATAATTAATCTGTTGGTGGGGGACAGGACCAGATCAGATCTGCTCAATTTGTCGCACAGAGAATTTAATTAAGGCTACTATATCAATAAGACTCCAAGCGGTGAGATGAGGTCAACCTGCAAAGTTGACTTCACACATGTCCGTAAGGTCCAGGACCCAAACAGCTGAACAAATCCCGTAACTATCAGGATCTACCTTAGAAAGCCAGATGACTTTCTCCTTGATTCTGTGTTGACCTGAGCTATTAACCCAGATAGAGCAGGATATACCAGCCTTGGCATGCAGGAGGCAGCCTGGGCCAATTCTCTACTGTTCTTGACTGGTGACCTGGATGCCTTCCAGGGCAAAGACAGTATCAGTGATCACTTCAGCTACAGTTGGCAGCATATTCGGTACATTTTTCTCAGTGATTGACATAATAGGCAGATATAAAATAAGTGAGAACACAACACCTAAACACTATCAACGAACATGACCCAATTACCATTTATAGTCTGCTTAACACAACAACAGAGTACACATTCTTCTCAAGCGGACAAAAATCATTTACTACTATAAACCATATTATGAGCCATAAAACAAGTCTCAATAAATTCTAAAAAATTCAAGTTATACAAAACATGTCCTCTAGCCCCAACTAAATTAGAAAGCGTAACAGGAAAGATCACTGGAAAATCCCCAAATATATGGGAATTACATAACAAACTTCTAACTAATCCACAGATCAAAGAAGAAATCAAAGGGGAATTAGAAAGTATTTTGAATTGAGAAAAAAACAAAACATGCTTTTGAGGAAAGTTATAGCACTTAAATGTGCTTATACTGGAAAAGAAAAAGTTCTGAAATCAATGATCTCAACTTCCACCTTAAGAAACTAGAAAAAGAAGAGCAAACTAAACCAAAAATAAGCATAATAAAGAAAATAATAAAGCCCAAAATGAAAACCAATGAAATACCAAATAGAAACACAACAGAGAAAAATCAGTGAGACAAAAAGCTGTTCTTTCGGATAAATAAGACTGTTAAGCTTCTAGCAAGACTGGTCAGGGAAGGAGAAAAAAAGACACGTTACCAATATCTGGAATGAGAAAGGTGACATCACTACAGATTCCACAGAAGAAAACATTATAGTAAGTTTATGCCAATATATGTGACAATGTAGATGAAATGGACATACTGAAATAGATCACTTGGGAATAGCTCTATTTTCTAGTCAAGAAATTAAAATTGTAGCTTAAAACCTTCCCTTAAGGAAACCTCTAGACCCATATAACTTTATTGGTGAATTTTACCAAACATTTATAGAAGGAATAATACAAATTCTACACAAATTCCAAAAACTTAAAAGGAGGAAATTTATTCCTGCTATGAGATTTCTGAGGTCAGGAAGTTTATCTGGTTCACAGCTTTAATTCTAGAAACAAGTAGAATGCTCGGAATATAATAGGTATTCAATAAATATCTGACTATAATTACTACCATGCAGGAAAGTATAAAGAGAAACACTGAGTTAAATCACAAAAAGCAAAGAGGGTAAGAAAGTCAGGCTGGAAGAAAGTTCATGAACATCAAGGCACTTGGGGTCTGGAGATCTGGTGAACGGGATTAAGCAAGTGTACTCAGTAACAGTAAGGAACTGGGATACATGGAAAACAGGTAAGAGTATAAACAAAATGATTTTAAACATTCTGGACAATGGACAACTTGCAGTGATAAAGTCAAAGGTGTAAATTAAGACTGGAAGAATAAATCACAAAGTGTGTTTTTATTAGTGTATAAGAACTATGGAAGATGTGTTTCTTAATTGTTCATTTTTTTTCTTATAATCTTAAAATGATGGTACTTGGTATAAATACTAGTTTACTAAATCAATACTGAAATATCCTTGTGCTCAAAAAAATAACTGTTTTGATCTTTAGAATTCATCTCTAAAATTATATTGTATCTATTGTTTTTGTAACCCATTTGTCAAAAACACAATTTTTACCTTTAAGTTGATATACTAATAAGAAGATTAAATTCTCCAAGTGTGGGTAAGACAGCAAAGGGGTTCCCACTGAATCATGAGACACTTTCCACAATAAGGGACAGTTTTATAGGGATCCCTGGAGATCGAGTCTCTAGTTCTAGGTAAATAATGTACTGTAAATTTGGTTCTCATAGTTCAGACTTGACTTAGCAAAAGGATTACAGAATACTCTCCCCACGGATTGTGATTAATGGCTGAAACCAGCTTTGGGTTACTCAGATTACTCAGGGACCTGAGAAAGCACCTCTGGGTATTGCTGAGACCCGATCATCCTTCTAGAACCGGAAGAAAGTATCTCATCTTGGAGTTGACCAGAAACCTCATTATCCTGCACCCCAGTAGATCAGCCTGCTGGAATAATCGATGACACAGTGCCTCAGAGAAACACGCAGACACACAAAGTGAGCTCCAGCCGAGTCTCTGTGGCCTGAGTAACTGATACACGAGAGATGCTCAGCCCACGTATTTACATTTTCCTTGCTAGGATCCAGAAATTCATCACCATGCAGAATATACTTTACACTGCTTTGTGCCTCTGCTTATGAGCTATATATGGTTATGAACAATATTATTGTCTCTCTGGGTTTCATTTTCTTCATCTGTAAAATGGGAATATTCATTTGTTTGAAGCTATATGTGGTAAATAAGATTACGCCACATAAAATGCCTACAAGAAAGTACCCAATAAAAAGTAAGCCTCTTGCCCGGCTGATGTGGCTCAGTGGTTGAGCATCGGCCCATGCACCGAGGTTGCTGGTTTGATTCCCGGCACATGCCCAGGTTCTGGGCCAAATCCCCAGTGGAGGGCATATAGGAGGTGGCCAGTTGATGTTCTCTCTCATTGATGTTTCCATCTCTCTGTCCCTTTTTCTTCCTCTCTATCAATAAAAATAAATAAAATAAAGTAAAAAGTAAGCCTCTTTTCCTGTCTCTACTAATGTGCACAAAAAACCGAGAAAAAATTGTTTGGCTCTTTCACATGCATACCAACTACTTATGAGATGATATTCCAATTTTTGTTGGCTGAAAAAAGAAGTTGAATACAAAGTCAATACAAACAGCATCTGGAATTATTACCTTTTATAACACTTACCTTAGCTCCATATTTTTCAATATAGGCATTAAGTTTTCCAGCTTTATAAAATGGTATCTGTAACAAAAACCCATTTGTAAAAATGACTTAACATAAACATTATTAAATGAAGCAACACATAAAAGATTTGGAACATTACACAGCAGAGAACACAGAATCAGGTCATCATCCTGACAGCTTCTATGCCGGGAGAAGCGAGTGATGCCAATCTCTCCATGAAATAGAACCTGAAGGTACACTCTCAAAATGAGGAAGCCTTTCTGGAGGTGACATGAACCCAGAAACCATGTGACAAGAGGCCGATAGATTTCATATAATATTTAATGCCTTTCGTAACATACAGTAATTCCTTAGATCTTAAGAAAGAAAGGGGACATAGTGGAAGATCAGAGAAAGTTCAAAAGGACAACATGCTTCAACACACCCCTGAAAGAAACACAAGTTAAAAGAAGATATTATTTGTAACCTAAAAGACTGGAGATGTGTAAAGACTGCGGGTAGCCAGTATTTGTGAAGATGTGGAAATATAGGGTTTTTTCATACACAATTTGTTAAATTATTCTATACCCATACAATGAAATATTTCATAACTTTAAAAATAAGAAAGATATATGTGTTGACAGAACATTAATCAGGAGAGGCTGTTAAAAGGAAAATAAAAGTTTCAAAATAGTATGCATAATAATGCCATTTTAAATATTTTTGTAATTTTTTTACAGCATGTAATGTATTTGTAAATAAGCAAAACATATTTTTAGATGACTATTCTAAGATTAGGATACTTGAATCTACTAGAATTCCAAAAAACAATCTCCTCCTTGTTCCATATACTTTTCAGGTAGGAAAAAAAACACAATTAAGAGGTATTAGTGTCTCCTTGTTCACCAATAGCTTGTCTTTCTTAAAAACTACATTAAGAATGAGAAAAAAAAGGTTGGACATATAGCCATATAACCTAGAAGAAAAACAAAAGAACTGAAGACTTTGTATGGCTTATCAGCACTATTAATAAATGTTGATTTCAGTAGATTCTGGGGAACTAAAATCTCAGAGAATTTTCAGAAAGATTTTTGACAAAAATCTCGGGATGGTATGATTTTTATGAAGCCTTCTAGCACTTCATTATCATTCCCAGTTATAAACAGCACTAGGAAATACATTTCCTGTTCTAATTTTACAAAGTGTAAAATTTTTTTTATTTATTTCCAAATTAAAAAAAAAAGTGTTGAGCCCAGCCAGCGTGGCTCAGTGGACTGAGCACAGTCCCATGGACTGAGAGGTCCCGGTTCGATTCCCAGTCAGGGCGCACGCCTGGGTTGCGGGCTTGATCCCTGGTAGGCGGCGTGCAGAAGGCAGCCAACTGATGTTTCTCTCTTACATCAATGTTTCTATCTCTCTCTCTCTCAAAAAAATCAGTAAAAATATTTTTAAAAAGTGTTGATCTTAAGTTCTTTACAATTGGAGATTTGTTGGAATGAGAAACTTACTCCTTTATATGAAGTGTGATTCTAAAGAATAAAATACAAGGAATGGAGTATATCTTTAAAAATTCTGCTCTAATGGATTTTAAACATCAGGTATATCAAAAATTAAAGTCTGTTAAAGGTTCAAACTATAAAATTTGTCTTCATAAACCATCTTCAATTAGAGCTATAATTAGTACCTGAATTACTGTTTATCAATACTGCCCCAAATAATTAGTAATAATACTTTATAAAATGTTGAAATACTGACCGCCATCACCACCCAAATTTGGCTAAATATTCCAGGCACAGGTGATGCAAGAACATCCTGGTGCAAAAACAGCAACTGCCTGTGGAGATAAAATGTAATAATTTTAAAGTAGACTAGCCTACTGTCAGTTTTTACTTTATCAGAACATTTTAAATCACTTAGTGCCAATTAGAAGTTTAAGTCACTTCCAGGCAAAGACTGTGTTACAGATTTCTGTCTTTCTGCCCACACTCAGCATGGTACTTGAGTGCTATAGGCACTCAGTCAAGATTTGAATTCAGAGAATTATAAAATTATAAATATTGATAATAATGTGCAAACTTGTCCCTGCACCTGAGTTTCCTAACCTCATTCATCTGTGAATGTAAATTCCTCTTTTAAAACCCCATTTCCAGCCCTGGCCTGTTTAGTTCAGTGGTTAGAGCACAGGCCCTTGAACCAAATGGTTGAGGATTCAATTCCTGGTCAAGGGCACATACCTGGGTTGCAGGTTCTCAACTGACTGAGATCTCTCTCTCTCTCTCTCTCTCTCACTCTACCAAAAAATGAATGGAAAAATATCCTCAGGCAAGGATTAAAAAAACTAAAAAACAAACCCATTTCTGTCCTAATTACTCACTGGAAGAAGTCTTAACACTGAAGAATCCAGCTCTTTTAACGGCTGTTTCTTCCATTTTCCTTTGTGTTTTAAGTGGTGGTCAGGGACGACAGAGGCAAAAGTCTAAGGAGTCAGCTCTCAGTGACGTTATCAACTACTTCGTGTTATAACTATTGACTAGATTCTGCTGCAAAAATGAAATTTCTTTTCCGAGGCAGATGACTTTAGTGGTTTTAGCTTAACATTCAACAGCCAAATGATCTTAAAACAAAAATCACCACAATTGAAATTATCAATAATTTTGCTTTCAAAGGTCAAGGAAAAGGTGGGAAGAACACAAAAAGAGCTGGAAATAAAAAGATTTTCCAAATTACTAATCAAGGAAATAAATTTAAAAAACCATGAGAGAGAGAGAGAGAGAGAGAGAGAGAGAGAGAGAGAGAATGTGTGTGTGTGTGTGTGGGGGGTGCACGCATTACCTCAAAAGGTAAGATGAGACAACCTGTCTGTATCTTTACCTTTGATGTCAGAACCTGAGTACAGCGAGTACTTGGTTTTATAAGGCCTGCTTTTGTCTGAACCTCTCAGTTACTGGGAGGATGAGTAAAAACACGCCACTCTATGGCCATGGCCTTATTCAATTTGTGAGCAAACATCAGAAAATCTTACAGCTTTCTACCTATTTGTTTCCAAAGGAGCCACAGGGAACTACTCAGCAGCTATCAAATTACACATCAGCAGGCAGGGTACAGACTCCTGGATGCACTTGTGGGAATATATGCAATAGGGGAAAAGAAAAGTTTTGTGAGTAAGAGCAAAATGTAGGGTACCCAAGTGTCTTTATTTCTGACCCCTCACAATCTTAGAAGTGTTTGTTCTTCACCAAAAAATTCAGTTACTGATAGAATCTTGCCATGCATTCTGGGAGTCTTTGAGTGCCTCCAACAATGGTGGATCCTCAGTAAACATGGAGTTATATTTTAGGCTTCAACTAAGTTCCTTTTCAGATACTATCTTGAGTTAGATATTTCAAGATAGTTCTTGGAGAAATACTCTCCAGAAATACTCTTTTAAAAATATATATATATTTTACTGATTTATTAGAGAGGAAGTGAGAGAGAGAGAAACATGGATGTGAGAGACAGCAACTGGCTGTCTCCTGAACGCCCCCTACTGGGGATTGAGCCAGTAACACAGGCATGTGCCCTGACTGGGACTCCAAGAACCTTTCAGTCCATGGGACAGCACCAAATCCACTGAGCCACACCGCCGGCCAGAAATACTTTTACGGTGACCTGAATATTAAGAAATTATATTAATCTAAAATATTTACACTATCTCTTAAAGTGCCTCATAAACAGAAGATACTCAGTATTTATTACTAACCTCCAAGTTTTGAAGAGCCTGATTTAATTCATCGATGTCAATATATTTTAAACAAAAAATTTTAACCAAGAAGTCATAAATATAAAATCTCAACAGTGACATACTCTATCTCAAGTATTTTAAGGCCTTCCCTAAATGCAATTCTATATACCTGGTCAGGACAAAATTAAACTTCTTTTAAAATTATATACAGACGTTGAGTGAATGAATACTTTGCTTTAAAGGAGACACTTCTTCTAAAACAGCTCTCACAGGTCTCAAGCAGTTCAGAAAGCATTAGTTACAAACGTGCTGCACCTGCACATTTTCATCTGCGTACTCCTGGTCTCGGCATCTGCCACCCCATCGCACAGCGTCACCCTGACAGCGCAGAGTTTCTGCAGATCCGGAAGTGTGAGGAAGAACAGTGACTGCTGCTGACGGACGTTCATGGTTTCCCGTTGGCGGAAGGTCTCAGCAACCAGGCCTTTAAAACAGGGACACAAACAGCGCAATAAAAGACAGTCAACTATCTCACCAATAGGGCTTCCATACAAATTCATCAGAATATTTGACACTGTGTTGAAATAAGATCATACAAACAAATTAGAAAATTAAGCAGTTAAATATCACTAACATTTTACGTTTAAGATTTTCTAGTGATGACCCAGAACTACTTGGTACCGGTTTTAAGATATAATTCACCTAACATAGAATTCACCCATTTAAAGTACACAATTCGCGCTCTGGGGCCCTCGCTTCCAAGATGACCAAGAAAAGAAGGAACGGTCGTGCCAAAAAAGGCCGCGGCCATGTGCAGCCTATTCTGGCACCAACTCTGCCCACGCGAGCCCAAGGACAAGGCCATTAAGAAGTTCCTCATTTGGAACATAGTAGAGGCCGCAGCCGTTAGGGACATTTCCGAAGCGAGAGTCTTCAGGCCTATGTGCTTCCCAAGCTGCGTGCGAAACTACATGCCTGTGTGAGCCGTGCCATCCACAGCAAGGCAGTCAGGAACCTTCTCGTGGGGCCCGGAAGAACCAACACCCCCACCCTGGCTTAGACCTGCGGGTGCTGCCAAGGCCCGTGTAAGAAGCTAAGTTCTTCTTCTTCTTCTTTTTTTATCCTCACTCGAAGACATTTTTCCATTTTTTGTTCATATAGAGTGGGAGGGAGGGAGAGGAACAGAAAGAGAGAGAGAAACGACGACGTGAAAGGGACACATCGAGTGGCTGCCACCCGCATGACGACCAGGGCCGGGGACAAACTGCAACCGAGGTACATGCCCTTAGCGGGAACCGAACCCGGGTCTCTCTGGACCGTAGGCCGACGCTCCAACCGCTGAGCAAACCGGCCAGGGCAGAAGCTAAGTTCTTAATGACTGAAGAAAAGTACTCTGGAAAAAAATAAACAGAAATTGTACTTGGGGGAAAAAAAAAAGTCCACGATTCAGCCCAGCCGGGTGGCTCCGTGGCTGAGCGTCGACACGCCCCAAGGGGTCGCCAGCTCCAAAGTCACTAGAAACACATTTTCTAAAAAAGCGAAAGTACCGTTAGAACCGCTAGCAAATCCACACAAGGTGTTCATGACCTAAAGACTTCTGATACTAGAAACCAAAAACGTCCCTTCTCCCCCCGGCCTTCCACTGCCCCGTGTAAATGCTTCCTGCTGCGGAAGGGTGAGCACACGGGGGCACCAGGGGCCGTTTCCCAGCGAGCACGGCCCCTCCGCGGTCCTGCCCGAGGTTCACGGGACGAAGCACCGGAGCAAAGGCATCAACGACGGGCGAACTGCACAGCACAGGGCGGACTGCGGCTGGGCCGGGGGCACGATCCTGTCCGTTTTAAAGACCAGAGGTCACGGCTCCGTGGGTCAAAGTCTGCGACGTTATTCTCGCTTCTGAAACACGACCCCCACTACGGCAACTTCCCCCGCGAATTCCTTGCGGCAGGTGCGGGAAAGGCCTTCCGGCCTCCCCTCGCTGCCCATCGGGGACCCGCCAGGAACCTGCGGACACGGTGGGCCGCTCAGGCCGGGCTAGAACCCGCTCACCCCCAGTCCCCTAGAACCACCTGGACGTTGGTGGAGGTGGCCGACCTTACGCCCCTCCTCCCCCGGCCGAGCCGGCACCACGTGCGAGGGCGAACCCGGGACAACGGGCCAGCGCAGGCGGCAGGAACTGCGACCACAGCTCGGCGCCTGCGGGCTCAGAAAGTCCAAGCAACTTCCGCCCGGGCACCCGAGCGGCCCTCACTTCCGCCCCGCGGGGCCTGCCGGGAAGACAGACGGACGCGCAGGCCCGTTGCCGCCCTGTCTGCGGACGACGCCCGGCGGGCTGGAGCCCGAGGGCCTCCGGGGGCCTGCGTGTCCTGCCCCCGTTACACCGGCGCTCACACCGCACGCGGGGGCGCCCCGTCCTCCAGCGCGCGGGCCCCTCCCCACGGGGCGGCTTCCAGGCAGCAGCACAGCTTCTGAGAAGGCCCAGCGATGCCGCCTTCGAGGCCGACGCCTCCTGAGGCGACCCGGGCCTTCGGCCCCAGGAGGAAGCTGCGGGGCGGGCGGCAGGACCTGCAGCGCCTCCTCTGCTCCCTCCCCGGTCCCTCAGCGGGTTCCCCGTCTTGGCCTCACCTTTGGCGCCGTGCACCGCTGCTGCCCGTCGTGGGGCTCCTCAGCGACCTCCTGGGGCTCCGGGCTCCACTCCCAGCAGGCCCCGCGCACCACCGGCTCCCAGCGTGCCCTGCCATCCCGGCATGCCCCAGAGTTCCAGCATGCCCTGCACACCGCTCCGGGCCTGCCCTGCCATCCCGGCATGCCCCAGAGTTCCCAGCATGCCCTGCACACCGCTCCGGGCCAGCCCTGCCATCCCGGCCTCCCCCAGAGCTCCCAGCATGCCTTGCACACCCCTCCGGGCCAGCCCTGCCATCCCGGCCTCCCCCACAGCTCCCAGCATGCCCTGCACACCCCTCCGGGCCTGCCCTGCCATCCGGGCCTCCCCACAGCTCCCAGCATGCCCTGCACACCCCTCGGGCCTGCCCTGCCATCTCAGCCTCCCCACAGCTCCCAGCATGCCCTGCCATCCCGGCCTCCCCCACAGCTCCCAGCATGCCCTGCACACCGCTCCGGGCCAGCCCTGCCATCCGGGCCTCTCCACAGCTCCCAGCATGCCCTGCACACCCCTCCGGGCCAGCCCTGCCATCCGGGCCTCCCCACAGCTCCCAGCATGCGCTCTGGGCCACGTGCTCCTGGTGTACCCGTAATGCCATCACACTGGAAGTTCTCGGCACCCCCGTGCGCCCCAGGTTTCTTCGCCGACAGTGGTGAAGCCAACACCTGCCATGCAGTCGCCGCGGTTCCCCGAGAGAAGAGCTGGGGTGGGCACTAGCAGGGGCTGGCAGGAGGCCCTTTGCGTGCTCAGGGGAGAGGAAAGCTGCACGCCCGCAGTAGGGCGCTGGGGAACCTCGGGAACCGAAGCCTCGGGCCGAGATACGCAAGTCCACTCCCAGCGACTCCCCGAGAGACCGGCGGTGGCCGAATTGTCCAGGACTGGAACGCCCTGCAGCGTGGCAGAAGGGGAGGCCTAGGCCAGGTGTACAGGCACCTGTCGTGTGGCTGACAAATATGTACCGAGCGCCTGTTGTGTTTGGAGGCGCTTCTAGGAGTTAGTGATGGAGCGGGAGCGTTAAGCAAACATTCCCTCCCTTCACGGGGCTTACACTTCGCTTGGGTGTTCGGGACAAAGAGTAAGATAAATGAGCACAATATCAGTATGGTAGATGGTGTTTGGGAGGAAAATAAAGCAGGCTAAGAAGCCAGGAAGTGTTGTGAGAGGCCGTTACAGAAGCCAGGAGGCCTCGTGGAGAAGGTGACATGTAAGACATGAAGGAGGTGGAAGGGGGCAACCATGCAGATGTCAGGGGAGGACGTTGCAAGAGAGGGCGTAGTGAGTAGAAAGGCCTGAGGCGGGAGGGTGACCACTTGGCCACAGTGGAGCTGGAAAGAGAAGTAGTGACTTGAGGCCAGGGAGGGTAAAGGAAATAGTATGTTATATTGTAAGCGGTGTACGCAGGCAGCTGTGCTGGGAGCATGGACTGGAGGAGGGCAGTCACACAGGAGGGAGGTGCTGTGGTCTGGATCAGGGTAGTGGCATGGAGGCAGAAAGATGACGTGGGATTATGAAGGTGCTTTGCAGTAGATCTAATAGGCTTTGGATGTGGATTGATGTGGGGTCTGAGAGGAGTCACGTATGACTCAAAGGTTTTTGTACTAAGGACTTGGGTTTACCCTTAACTGAGAAGTGGAAGAATGTGGGAGGACCAAGTTTGGGGGTTAAGATCAGAAGGCACTGGGTTTTGGACATGTTGACATTGAGAAGTGAAGGGGAGTTGTTCTGGGGAAAGATCTGTGATAGATTGTATTTAAAATGAGCAGATCAGCTCTTCAAGAGAAGGTTATTTAGTACTCAGGTGTTTGGTGATATGGGCATAATTAAAAACTTCAACTATCTTTAGTTCTTCCTTGTTAAAATTATTATTGAAGCCAAGTGCAGATTCCAGTTGCTGGTTCCATTCCTGGTCAGGGCACATGCCCAGGTTGTGGGCTCTATCCCCAGCAGGGGGCATGCAGGAGGCAGCCAATTTGATGTTGATGTTTCTCTCTCACCAATGTTTATTCATCTTTTTCTAAAATCAATAAAAAAATATTTTTTTAAAAAAAGATTAAGGTTATTGCATTGTGTTGTCATATTTAAACTGTTGGGACATGCAAAGATTAGGCCGTATTTTGTGGTTGGGCACGTACCCTATGAAACTGAAGGTCTTTTCCAAGAAAGGTTACCTGGGGAAGCATCAGATCTTTATTTTATTTATTTTTATCCTCACCTGAGGACACTTTTCCATTTTTTGTTCAGATAGAGCAGGAGGGAGGGAGAGAGAGAGAGAAACATTGACGTAAAAGGGACACATCGAGTGGTTGCCAACCGCACGACCCAACCAGGGCCGGAGACAAACTGCAACCAGGGTATGTGCCCTTAGTGGGAACTGAACCTGGGTCTCTCTGGACCGCAGGACGACGTTCCAACCGCTGAGCCAAACAGGGCAGGTGGAAGCATCAGATGTTTAGACAGGAAACTGGGACTAGGATAACAAGACCTAGGTGATTGCTGCAGCAGGGCTCAGCATGCACCTTGGCTCAGACATGGAACAGTTGGATATCTAAGACTGTAGTTATGGGTAGAGTGTTATCAGCTGCCCTCAAACATAGAGGGAGGCTGGGACTCAGAAGGAAAGCTCCCTAAAAAGGGTCCTCACTGGGTGTGCACCTCAATCACTTAAGGAGATTTGAGAATCAGATGAACTTGCAGAATTGGCATCACTGCTTTGTTTGGTAAAGATGAATCAACTATGTCAGGCTCTAGATTAATTGTACTTGGTTCATTTGAATGTTCTGGTCTTGCTGTAAGAAAACAAAGAAAGGGTTGTTTAACTACACTTATGCCAGAGGGCCCAGGAGAGCAAGGTGGTGGCAGGTGGCAGGTGGCAGGATGTGATACCAGTAATCAGGGAAAGAAGGGCGTAGGGGATGAAGTTGCAGCCTGGAGACAACTCCACCTCTGTGACCCAGATTTCATTTCATTTTTTAAGTTTTATGCTGTGACCTTTGATCAACCTCACTGTCTTTAGCAGGTACACCAAAGCTATCTAATTGATGATTATTTATAGCCCTAAACATTTTTGTTAGGCTGGAATGCCATGGCAACTGAGATAAAGATCAAATTGGTGATAGTATCGATTATAAACCAACTATCACAAGACCACCAGGAGGTATGGTCCCTGGCGCTGAGTACCAGAGTTACACTATTACAAAAGCACAGTAACAGGAGTCAAGCAGAGAATAATTTCTGCAGGCCCGCTGGGTTGTCTGTCTGCTTGGACCCCACATGCCTATAAGTACACTACCCATAATTAACTGTTGTATTTTATGAAGTTGTCTGCTTTAGTTTCTGGTCTGAAGATACCTTCTTGTTACGATGGCCATTATACCTATGCCTCAAGAAGAACCTGTAAGGAATTTATTGTAAGCAGGTAGGCAGGTAACCATGAAAAGCAGGTCTGGGGCAAGTAGGGATAAACAAGAAAACTGATTAAAGAAATGTTCAGCGGGAAAAACCTATAGAATGTACGTCATGGATTCAATTTTGAGGTGACCTGGATGATTCTCAAGCTTCTGACTTAGGTGACCTGATGAGGAAAACAAACACCATCAACTATATTTCATAAAATTGTCTGAAACTCTGAACCCTTTACAAAATTAAATAGGTTATCTGGAATTTTCCCTATCTACACCATGTCACTCTTGTCCTATTTACTTGTGCTGGAGACAAAAAGAGATTAAGAAAATAAATTTAATGTTGCAACCATGTCCTACAATCAAAGATCAAATAATTACTCTCCTTAATTACCTGCGGCTACTTAGAGAGAGGAAAATGTATTTACAATACATATAGTTCCTTTTAGTCTGAAGTTAACTGAGGAAATTATCTTACTTCAGCAATGAATTTAAGACATTTGCATTAGCTTTGTGGTCAGATAATGTCCACTGCTCTTCGCTCCTCATTTCTGCCTCAGCAACACAATGATCAGAGATTCTCAACTGACATTCTGGTGTGTGATAAATATACGTGGGTAAATGCAACTTCAAGTCATACTTGATTTACTTAAAAACGAATAAAATTTTTCCCTGTCCAGTTTGGCTCAGCAGTTAGAACGTCAGCCTGTGGACCAAAGGGTCGCAGGTTTGATTCCCCGTCAAGGGCACACACTTGGGTTGAAGGTTCAATCCCCGGGTGCGGTGTCATGCAGGAGGCAACCGATGCGATGTATCTCTCTCATATCAATGTATCTCTCTCCCCCTCCCTCCCTCCCTCCCTCCCTCCCTCCCTCCCTTCCACTCTTATCTAAAAATCAGTGGAAAAATATCCTTGGATGAGAATTAACAACAAAAGAATAACATTTTAATAATTTAGAAAATTTTGGAAATTATTGCTAATAGATGGGGAACTGTTTAGAAATCAACTTACTAGGCTGTATATACTAGAGATGTAGATATTTTGGGGAGGGTAAAGATAACCTAGGGAAATACAAATTTTAAAACACGTGGATATGGATATAATGCAAATTATCCATGCAGATATTTGAATTGGAATCTGTCTTTGTAGAAGTGCCCATTTGTTGAGAGAGGCAGCTTTCTGTGGTTGTAACTATATAATGGCAAATATAATTATTTACCTAAATGGGCAGGAAAGAGCTGTTCAGGTGAGTCTTGTGCACAAGTGACAGAAGGAATTAGAAAAGTTTTTAAAATCTAATAACGTTTGCTTATTTTTGTCTTATAATGGAAGAGAAGACTGAGTACTTTTTGCACTATATTTTTACCTGAGGAACTTTAGGAGTAGAACTGGTTTTCTAAATGTTTATAAAAATTCCTTTGCTGGAGAGGAAGTCAGGAGGAGTTTGTAAGTATTTGGGCTCCTTTATCAGGTTTGTTTGTTTCTAAATTTGCCTAAGTTTACTTCACCTTGGAGCACCTGCTAGAAGGATGTTTTCTCATTCCTGTGTTTTAGAATAAGGAAATCTTGTTGAATGATAATAATAAAATAATAACAGCACTAGTTAAATCTGTTGATTGCTTTCTGTGCCAGCCACTGTGCTGCACATTTTGTAAGCAGTGGTTTAGAATAGTTAACCATCTGGCTCATAGTCATGCATCTATCTGATAAGTCGCACCTGACAGGGTCACGGTCACTGACACCAACGTTTTGTTTGTAACCACTTCAGGAGTATTTGAAAGTGGGACTGAAATCTGAAACAGTCTTGACACTGGATTACAGAGGTAGCCATTCACTCAAGAGACCCATGCTCTGCTAGAAATCTTGGGGGAGATTCAGCACTTGGGACAACTGTTAGGGAAATCATATAATTTTGGTTTACTATTTTTAAAAAGTAGGAAAATTATAACATTAAATGCAAAAATTAGAAAAGATACAAAGTCTCAAATCAATAAACTTCCACTTCAAAAATCTAGGAAAAAAAAAAAAAAAGCGAAAAATAAACCCAAGGCAAGCAGAAAGAAGGAAATAATAAAGAACACAAATCAGTGACATTGGGGAAAAAATGAAAGAGAAAAAAAGCTCTTTGAAAAGTTCAATAAAACTGACAAACCTCTAGCAAAGTTGACATCTAAAAATGGGAGAAGTCACAAATTACTAGTATCAGGAGTCAAACAGATTTATCACTGTAGACCCTGCAGACATCAAAAGGGACTATGTACCATGAACAACTGTATACACATAAATTTAACAACTTAGATGAAACGGACCCATTCTTCAAAAACCTACAACTCATCCAGAATTAAAGAGATGATCTGAATAATTCCATAACTAATAGAAATCAAACTCAGTTTAAAACCTGAAAAAGAAATCTGCTGACCCATAGGGTTTCACTGGGTAATTGTACCAAACCTTTAAGGAATAACACCAATTGTACATAATGCCTCAGAAAAACAGAAAAGTGAATACTTCTCAATTTGTTTTATGAAGCAGTATTACTCTGATACCCAAACCAGACAAATGTAATGTGTAAACAGAAATATATTTCCTATCTCGTAAATATAGATGCAAAAATTCAACATATAATTAATACATAAGTTTACTCGATACCATAAACAAGTGGGGTTTATTCCCAAGATGCAAGGCAGGCTGAGTATTTGAAAATCAATGTATTCTATTGTACGAAAAGGCTAGCGGGCACTTGGGATGCTTGGGAAAATGTTTTCTTCTTGATGGCCGTGCATTCCTATGGAGGAGGCAAGAGGGTAGGGACCAACATTCACCCAGCACCTAAAGGTGGAGGAACCGTGCTCAGCCCTCGGGAGGATGACCTGCACATGCAACGCACCCTGTCGTGTAAGTTCTTTTGGAATGAACTACCATTGACGAAAGGGGCCTTAACAAATACCAGACGAATTCTTCCTATATAGGTCCCGTAGGCTTCTGGGCAGGTGTTCCTCCAGGTTACTCCCAGGACCATCCATCATTTAGGAGGCACCTAGGCGACGCACTGTTGGGACAAGACGAGGACGCTCATATCAGAACCCGCCTGGCCAGTGGTCAACAACGGAGAGGTGCTTCGGCAACACCGAAACCATCAAAACGCCTTCGCCTTTTACAAACAGTCCGGGGTTTGTTCTCCTGTGCGCTGGGCAGTCGGGCCGGGGGCGTGGAGGCAGTTAGGCGAAATCAGAGCCCACGAGGCCCGTTTCTCACCGGCGCGACGCTAACCATTCACCCGAGGCTCCCGGTGGAAAGAGAGCGGGCCTGGCTGAGCTGACTTGACTAGGAAACAGCGGCGGCGCCGACGTGCGGTCGCTGCTCCGCAGAGTGCGCGCCGCGCTGGCCCCCGAGGAACATGCCGCGGTCCGTCCTTCCCGCGCACGTGGGCCCCGCCGTCACACGTGTCATCCGCCCGCCACCCCCCGCGGCCTCGCTTTCTGCGCAGGCGCAAGGGAAGTCCTGCCTGGCCTTGCGCACACTCGGCATCTTCTTCAGCCAATCAACGCCCGCTTTGGGCGGGGCGCGAGGGGGCTGGTGGAGGGAGTCGGTCGAGGGCGGGGCCCTGGAGTGACGCGGATTCTGGCCAATCATCGGAGGCCGTCAGCACCCCGCCCCTCCGAGGTGCCGGTTGCCCTGCCCCGGGCGCCGAGCCGGGAGGCCGGGAATGTCCCGGCCCTGGCTCGTTGAGACGCGCTGTGCTGCGCCCGGCTGGCTGGTGTCTGCAGGCCCTGAAGCTCGCCGCGTTCCGAAATGGCCGAGCCGTCGGACAAGGCCGTCAAGTACTACACCCTGGAGGAGATCCAGAAGCACAACCACAGCAAGAGCACCTGGCTGATCCTGCACCACAAGGTGTACGATGTGACCAAATTCCTGGAGGAGGTGAGTGGGAGAAGCCCGGCGCCGACCGAGGCCGGACGGTCCCAGCCGGGACCTGTGGTTCGCGGCGCGCTCCCGAGCCCGTCACCTGTCTGTGCACACCTGTCTGCACCTCCGGGAGCGGTCCCCGCGGCGGCGCCCCCTGCGCCCCTGTGTGCACCCCTGGGAGCGCCCCCGCTCTGCGCACCTGTGCGGGCCCGCCTGCGGGGCCCGGAGGCGCACGGCCGGCGCTGCCGTGGAAGCCCCTGCGCGGGCGTGCGGGTGCGGGGCACCACCCAGCATTTAGTGGGAGACAAAGTCGCGGCCGGATCGGCTTCCCTGGCTGAGGGCGCGGCTACGCGGAAGGGTGTTGAAAGCCCCGTTTTCTCCCTAAGTTTGCATAGACGGGATCTCCGTCTGGGACGGGGGTCTTCCCACTTCGGGTGTTCCCGAGTGGATTCCTAAAAGGAGCAGGTTGAATGCGATCCCCCCAACCCCCACCTCGTGAGCGGCGGGGGCCCTCCCGAGGGGACTCCGAGGTCGTTCGGAGGTCGGGTTGTATGGGCCGCACCCACACCGACCCGGTGATTGTGAACAGACCAGCTGAGGACTTTGCAGCGAGGTTCAGAGTTTGCTCCTGGGACTGAGTGTGGGCGTGAGGCTGGCCTTGACAGAGAAGGGAGGAGGAGGAGCACAACAGTGAAAACGCTGCCGGTGGGACTTGATCCTAAAGCAGATTTGGACGTTGTGAAATGACTTTGCTTAACGTAAAGGGAAACATTCCTTTGATAAGATTCTTTGCTTTAGATGATCATTTTCAAAGTAAATTCTTAGGGGCTTTTCTTTGCTCCCTTTGGAGGTGTTTTATCACTGTGGGGGAGTCTGAGTCATAATTCTTAACTTACTGTCCTTCACCCCCCAGACAATAGAAGAGAATGTTTAGTGGTGGGAATTCTTACATACTTTTAAGGGATCACTGAGATGGAGGCCTGGGGTTAGCTGGATCACAATTGACATCAAGGGACTTGTTTTGCAGAGAATTAAAAAAACAAAAACAAAAAACTGTTTTGACAAAGGATGGACTTGATGTTTATCAGTAATATATTTTACCATGAACTTGTCATTTGGTGGCTTGTCAGGAGATAAAATAGTGTCCAGACTTAGTTAGGAGTGGTTTCTAGTTGAGAATCACATCTGATCTGTTCTGCCCCTGAGGCTGAACTACAGGGCTCGTTTGCCATTAGTTTCTTGAACTAAAGACCCTGAAGGTAACATCAGGGGTAATTGACACCAGATGTCTACTTGGAACGGTTTCTCCTTCCTTTATGGTATATGTAATTCTGCAGTTTTAGGATCCAGTGTTTGCTTTCTTTACTTGTGTCTATTAAAAATAATAGTACTTATAAAAGATTAATAGGCTGTTTTATATTATGAAGCATTTATTAGTTCTTGCTTTTTCTTTTTTTGTGGGTCCTGTCCTCTACATTGTGTTGTACAGGAACCTTCCCTGGCCTCCCCCCACCAGATGTCACTATCACCCCTCTTCCAGTTGTGCCAATCAAAAATGTCTCCGGTTATTGCCAAATGTCCCCTTGGGGACAAAAAGATTCCTACTTTGGAAGGAGTTCCTGCCCTGAAATGTGTTTTGCATAACTTTTAAGGGTACATTTCTCAGAGGAAATAAGATAATTAAACTTTACTGTAAACCATTTACTGTTACATTTCATTCTTATGAGGCAGGAAGGGGGAATTGCACAAAATGGTCTGAGTTAAACTGGAAAAGCGGCGAACAGGCCCTTTGGTTGGTCAGCTGACAACAGGCTCCCTCTTCCTGTTTTCAGCTGTCTGACTTTGAAAGTAGCTTGGGGGGAATGCCTCTCGAGTAGAACGCGATGACGTGAGTTTATCACTAATATTCGATCATGAATACTTACAGTGAGATAACAAGAAACTGCTGTTTATAGTGATTTAAGTAAAACCCCATTTACAGTGGTCCCTATACACTTTACTTTTCTCGGTCGGTACTTGGTACTATGCTCCTTGTGGTGGTCCCCCTGGGACTTGAGTCTGGGTCCCGAGCTCCGCTCTTCCGGACCTTCTGATCAGTCCATGTGGTACTTGCTGAGCGCCTGTAGTCTCCGTGTCTATCAGGAGACTGGAAGCTTCATTGGAGGAAGCAGGAATACAGAAAACAAGGCTGTGGACAGGAACGGTGACACGAAAGCTGTGTTCAGCGGTTGGGAGTGTCCCTGGAGGGCTGTTGGGGCCTCCTTCATGGGCTCTAGTAAATAGGGCCTCAAGTCAGCAGGGGCCGGAGTGCAAAGGACCCGGCCAGCTCACAGCGGGCTGGATTCAGGTGCGAGAGGGAGGTGGCTGACACTCGAGGTGGACCTACGAGAAGGAGCAGGCAATGCTGAGGGGAGGAGGTCTGCTAGCCTCTTCAACTGGAACCCACCTCACCAGCCCTCCCAGAACATCTGATTGCGCTTTTCGGGACACGTCTTCCATTCCCTGTCTTTACTCTTCGTTGTCACTTTCTCTGATACCTCTGCTCAAGGCAGGGTTCTAGTCTTTGGTTTCCCAGCCCAGGACCATCCTAGGACCCCTGCCCCCGGCTTCCTGCCTCTTAAACACCCCCCTCCCTCCTTCACAGGTCCGCATGACGCCCTGCCATGGGTTTTACTTCTTCCTGGGTCCCCTTGTTCCATTACTAGACGAGGCTATCCCCACTTTTAAAACACAGAGAAGCCCAGAGGATCTGTCTCTTCCCCTCCCCCATCCCCTTTCTCCCATCATTTAGAAGCTCCAGAAATTCATTAAGCCTTTGCATGTTAACTAAAGAATATTCTGTTTCACTAATTTACCTAAATATGAACAGTTTGTTGGTGGGGGGCAGCTTCCTACCTCTAAAGTGAACTTTTAACCACGGGCGAGATCTCCTTACACTATGCATCCACTCATCCACATGGACAACGCGGTTTCCATGGCATCGTTCAGAATACCATAGGTGTATATGCATGTCTGCATTTATACGCATGTCTGCATTTAAACGCATGTCTGTGTTCATGTTGAGAAAATACATAGTTGATGGGTGGAAGGGGGTCCTGTCTGCTGCCTACACTCTCTGTGCCTCAGATGCCTTGTTTAAGGTATAAGTCAGCTGGCAACAGTGCCATCTTCACAGGGTGATTACAAGAATGAATCAGAACAATGCTGGTTGAACGCATAACATGGTCACAGGCCTAGGATCCCTGCATTCCTTCCGTGGCATCGTATGTAGCCCAGTGCTAGTCGAGGTTTTCAGTGAAGGTTCACATTGGGAGGGTGACGCCGAAACAGGAGAGTGTTAACAAGGCCACGGGTGAAGTTTTAGTTGTGTAACGGGCTCTCCTGAAACAATGGCCTTGTGAAGCTGTTGTCATGCTCGAGAGGACAGTGGACACCCGAGAGGCCTACGGGCGCAATGTTAGTGGCCAGCTAAGTAGCGGCAGGTGTTCAGTTACTGTCTGATGTCAGCCTTCGAGATTATGAGCTTAGTTGCCTACATATTCTGAACTAGGTTTTGTTTTGTTTTTTGTTTTTTTCTTTTTCAATCTTGAGTTCTGGTGTTTGAATTTATATTCGTGAAGTGGATCTGGTCGTATGATTACATTATTAGTAGGGTTAGTGATAAGAGAACTTTGAGGGGAAGTTATTGAAATGTAGGCACTTGGGGCCAGGAAAAGAGATGATTTGCTTTCCTCTTTCTGTGATGTGGGCAGCAGCGTTGACACGGTTGTTGAAAGCGCTGTGGAGGGAGAGAAGGTGCCACATAATCAATGACCGTTGCGTTACCTTGCTTTCACGCCAGTAGATGTTTGATTTGTGAAGTAGGGATATTCCTGAAAAATGGTATGAGCACAGTGTCAAGTTGCCCCCTCCTTTGCACGAGGCAGATGGAGACTGGGTTCCCCAGACTGTTTCCTGGGGATCCTGGGTTAGTGATGCGCTGGCTGCGTCTCGCCTGCTGGTTAGCTCCATTCTGCCTCACAGAGCCATTGGCTCCAGACTCACTTTTGCTTCCGTCATCGTAGGTAGTGTCTTTATAGCAGTTTTTGTGGGAAGGACTTGCTTTTTGTTACTTTCCATTGAACATGGTTGCTTGTTTTGCACAGACCACTGGTTCTCTTTTTTTTTTTTTTAATCCTCACCCGAGGACATTTTTCCATTTTTTGTTCAGATAGAGCGGGAGGGAGAGAGAGGAAGAGAGAGAGAGAAACATTGATGTGAAGGGATGCATCGAGTGGCTGCCACCCGCACGACCAACCAGGGCCGGGGACAAACTGCAACCGAGGTACGTGCCCTTAGCGGGAACCGAACCCGGGTCTCTCTGGACCGCAGGCCGACGCTCTAACCGCTGAGCCAAACCGGCCAGGGCCGGACCACTGGTTCTGAGTCCGGGGGACCTCAGTGCTCCTGGGATCTGGGAAGAGACTCTGGGTGCCCGAATCTCAGTGTCTTAATTCTGAAAAAACTGAGCATCTTTACCCTTGATAGGGCTGCCAAATTTAGGGCTAAAATCCTAGATGCCTTTGCTCTTCTGAAGGAAGTTTGATAATATTCTAAATCTCACACTCCCACAAAGTTGCGGTTGCCAATGTCTCTGATGAAAGTAAAATGGAAGTGTCGTAACTTATCATTTAACCTATGTACTTTGGTAAATAAAATTATGAAATCCACGGGAGGATAATAAAAAGGGACCCGTGGTGTTAATGGGGCCCAGATATCGGGGCGAACAGCGGCAGACTCAGTCTCGGGCCCCGGGTAGTGTCAGCCAGTGGCTCGCTGCTTTGGTAGATGTCAGCATAATTTTTTTTTTTTTTTTTGGTAACTTTTTGCTACTTCTGAGAAGAGATTTTAAGAGTGCTTGTGAGGCTACTTTGTTTTTTTGTTGCCGCTTTTTACTGTTTTAAAACAAATACTCGAGATTGTTAACTTTCGTTTTATGTACCCTTAAGGAGAGGAAACCCTAAATTGAAGGGAGC